TCCTGCACAATGGGTTTGCATCACTGAAAATTAGATTAGCACTACTGTATAGAAAATGTTTAATGTGGACTATTTTGTCCAGGGCTGACTGCAAGGAGAGGATATTCCTGATCATTACCTTTTTAATCAGCAATGGGTCTTGATTGTTTAAGCAGTTTTTTAAATTAAAAGAAAACATTTGTAAGATACTTTTGTAGATATTTATTGTCTGATTTAAAGTGCAATATTTTGTTTTGTACAGTGTTTAATAAAGATTTTTGGACATATATTTTTTCTTATTACCAAAATTTCTTATTCATGTTTTTCCTTTATATTTAAAGTTTTCAAATGTTAACACATAGCATTTTTTGTTGCTTTAATTTTGTCTTTGGTTAAGTATGCATGTTATACAGAAGCAGTGCTGTAAATGTTTGTTATTGCAGTTGGCATGACATTCCTCTGTAGATTATTTTATTGCTTCTCCAGTAACTGAAGATGTCAAATATTTAGCTTTCTTGAACGTAGTTTTGATATTTCTGAAATAAACTCTAGTTTGATTATTCAACACCATGATTACCCAGAGATTGTTTATTACTGTGATTTTCATGGTAGCTATGCTTTCATTCCAAGGGTTATTTTATCAACCTACTGTGTCCATAATTCTGGGATTTTTTCAAAGCAGATTTGTTTTTATTTTTGACAGCTTGTTGGACAAATTCTCAACTTTGTTACAGTCTGCTCTGCACTCCTATTAAGAGGCAACATAGATGCAACCTGACTGGAAAGGTGGGGAAGAGAATTTGCCAAAATCCAAATAAGTCAGCCTTGCCTCATTGAAATCTAGAATCAGGACTCTGTAAAAAGGTGGAGTAAAGTTACAGTTCTTTGCCAGGCTTTCATGTACTGCACCAAGAGAGTTCATTTAGATCCAACAGAACAGCTTTATGGTTTATATTTAGCGGGTGATGGAATAGCTACGTGATAAAAACTTGTTTCAGAATATCCAGTATGTGCAATAGTCTTTAGAAAGAAAAGTCTCATAAATAATACGAACAAGAAAAGCCTAAAAAAATGAAAATACATGTCTAGCAATGAGATGGTGGTGTTTCAGAGTTATCCTAGATAGTAACATTGGCAAAGCTGCATTGGGTCTACTTAATTTTCCTTTTATGTCACCAATGCATTCTTTCTGTGCAGTCTTTAAAACAACAACAAAAAAAAGATTCTGTACAGTGGTTCTGTGGAGCACGCTGTATAGCATAGTGCACAAAAAGCACTTTTAGAATAGCAATTGAATCCATGAGTTACTTTTCTGCTTTTACATCTTGGTTTAGCGTAACATCATAAAATGCTTGTTTAACAGCTGTTATTTTGAAAAATACCCGTTTTCCAGCCTGCTGTTCATTTTGTCTGCATTTCAATAATACGTTGCTTATGAAAAAGTTGACCTTAAGAATTGAATACTGTCTGAAGGCTTATGATATCATTTGATGCTTTTCCTGGAAGCACAATCGGTTGAGTGTGGCTCTTTCAGCTGTAATGTAATAAAGACTTCTCTCTTTCACTATTAAAAGTTAGAGGGAAACATTAAGGGCAACATGAAAGGGAATATGCCCCCTCCACCCTAAACAAGTCTTCAAAAACATCTGCAGAGGAACTGTTAAATGAATCTGAATATGCCTCCACTTCCTCTCAAAAATTTCTGTACTGTGCTGGTAGGTGGCAGCAAATGACTTTCCATAACTTAATTACAAAAATTATCTGGGCTTGCTCACAGACCCGGAGGAGGAGCCATTTTCAGCAGAACACGCAGGCCCACATAGCTTCAGGGATTCAGATTGCATTTCTCAATGAGTTTTCTTCCTTCCTGCAAAAGAGAGCTGGAAGATATCAGGAGCTTCTGTAAACTTCTTATGAGGTACTAAGATTGTGTATAGGGTATGGACTTGGGTAGGTGTAACTGTGTGAAGCTTTGACTTTTCCTCAGTTGTGGCCAGAGTGTGACTCAAGTTTCATAAAGAGAAGGATGCTTGTAGTTTGTTTTCTTCTGTGGTACAAAAGGATGGCAATGAATTAGCCTGTTTCCTGTCCTGCTTTTAGGATATCACAGATTTACATTGCCCTTGCTCATGCCCAATCCAAAACACACCTTTACCACCTGGGGACATGAATAATCTTCAGAGAGAGAAGTTTAATTGAATTGTTGTTTCATTAATAGTAAGTCATATTACAAAAAAACAATGTACAAAGACAAAAATTACCTAAAAGTAACTGATGCTGTAATAATGTCTGGAGCTCTCTAATGCAGTGTGTTCAGGCACAGCTAATATACTCAGTTCAGCATTCTTCCTTGCATATTATCCAGTTCCAGCTTGTCAGCATGTTTCCATTAGTGATCTTGGTCCTTTGATTGGTGACTTGGTTGATGAAGTATGAGCACATAATTCTTCAGAACCCAAATGACTGCCCCATACCAATGTGTACAAGATATGCAGTAGTAAAAAAGATCATACTGCAGTACTGTGATAGAACATGATAATACTGTTAATCATAAAACTATTTATTGGAACTTGCTTAAATCGTGAACGTAATAGGACTGCAATAATTTCATCTAGATTTCCCCAAATCAGGTAAAGATACATAAAGAAAACACTAAATCTCTCATATAGAAGTATAATCATTGCATGTACAATTCCTATAAAAATCTTGTTTTCTGTGTATTTGTAACAAGTAATTCTTTGAAGAGCAGCCAGGTTGTCTATAGGGATTTCTGCATCTCTGTTGATATTTCTTTTTTTGACTGAATTTACACTATTTTATGTTATCGCTACATATACCTTTATAGTTTTCTGTCATTTTCCTCTTCAGACTGTCTCTGCAGTGAACTTCGGCAGTGACAACAGGCTGTTTAGCTTTAAAAATCAGATAGCAGGATCAAAAACTGTGGTGGATGGATGTTAACTTTTTTAACCTGATTCTCTCTGCTTCCTTACCATCTACCTTAGAAACTTGAAAAACAATCATCTGTGAAATCTCTTTGTGAAATTTGATTGAATTTGCACACTGGGTAGGGACGACACCCACTTAGTGTGTCCAAAGCTTTCCATCATCTTTGTTTCCTTTGGAAGGCTCAAAAAGTACTATCACAGAAATTAGGAAACAGAGTCTAATGACCTACTTTTTATGCCTGGGTGAGTTCACGTATTTGTACAGAAAAAAAAAGCAAGTTTACTACTTGTTAATTGCTATCTGAGATTACAGTGTGACCTTAATACTCTTCTCAGAACTGAATGAGGGAAAAGTAATGATAAAGCTAAAGCAAGGTTTTTAGAAATGCCTAGGTGTCGTGGGAAGCTATCTTATGATTTGGGCAGCAAAATGTAAAGAAAAAAATCTTATCAGATTACTCAAAGCATTGCTGAGAGAAAAAAATGGGACTGATGAGCTAATTATTTAGATTATTATAGCATTAATTGCTTACTAAGAAAAAGAAGTTATGATCAAAAGATACTTGCTGTTTCGCAAACACAATCACTTGATTTGCAGAAAATATGAAAGAATTAAATGTACAATACATATACTTGAGATGGAGCATAATGAAATCTGGGAAGTGAAGGAAACCACAGTCAAAAAAAGAATAGATGCCATGTGAGACGCATTATTCCTACAAAAATTGGCAAATCTTTGTAAGTCTTGTAATAAACTTCTGGTTTTGCTTTGATTTTCTTCAAGCGATCAGTTTAAATGCTTTTAAAATCAGAATTTGTATAATTTAATTTGATTTCTGTGTTATTTAAAGAAGAAGTAAACAAGTAGGATTCCAATTACTTCACAAGGGTGCTTGAAATAGGGCATTTAAGTATTATGACAGAACAGCTACTTCCTTTGGAATAGGATTACTATTTGACTCGGAAAATTCTGGAGTAAGTTGGCGGAAGAATTTGTGACCATGAGAATCTGTGTTTACATAGACATACCCTGGAGGAGATGGATAATTTGCTGGGCAGGTCTCTTGTTTCTTTGGAGTGTATTCTGTGCGATACATAGTTTCATCTTGAAAAGGAGCTGAATTAGGAACTATAGCAGGTACAGGTTTGAAACTTTGAGCTGGAATGATCTGATGTGGTATGTAATGAGATTTGAATGTAGTTAAATCATAAAATTTTCCCGTGGGTTTTGGAATTTCTTGTTGTTTCTTAGTAATCTCTTGCCGACAGCTGTCCCAAGCTTTAAAGTCTTCCTTTGTAGTAGTATTCCCTTGAAAAGGGGCATTGGTTCTTCTTCCATTAGAAACTGGTCTTATGGGGACAACAGGAGAAATCTCATGCTTAACGTAATCAAGATGGCTCGTGGAGTTAAAATCCATGTTGCCTGGGGGTGGAACATACTCTTCTGTTTTGCGGACCTCAGGCAAGGAGACCAACCATGGCTGAAAACGATCCTGGAATTCAGTGACTCCATTAAAGTGAGCGTTGGCTCTGACTTTTGCTTTTTCAGGCTTGCAGCTTTTTGTGACTTCCCCAGGTAGCCCTTTAAAATCATTCCGGTGGGTTGTGAGATCTTCAAAGGGTTGGTTGCTTGGCTTGTATTCTTCTTTTGATCTTATGAATTTTGGTTCCAGTTGATGAGCAATGTAACAAGCGCGATGGCTAGTAGTGCTATTGAACGGCACATCTGAAAGCTTGGCTACACAAGGAGGTTTAAAACTTTGTCTGGGATTCAGTTCCCTAGGAACAAAGTCATCTTGAAACGTAGTAGAATTGCCAAACTTCTCTGTAGGTGGGTGGTACACATGCTCCACCTTACTAGGTTCCCTTCTTTGAACTTCCCATGACCTATAGTCATCTTTAAGGCAAAAACAAAACTTCACCATACAAGTGTTATTACTTAAGACCATTCCTTTAAAATTAAGCCAAATTCTTCTGGTATTAAATCTTGCAAAACAAAGGAAATGGATGTACCTGAGAATGATAATGTTTTCTGCACATCTGTGGTGTGACAAAACTGTCTTCTATTATTGGTGTGATAAAAACAGACAAAAAAATTGTACATGATACCCTATTTTGAATATTTCCTCAAGGGAAAAGAAAATGTCGCATGTACATATTTAGTGTGTTTGCTATACAGAATATAGCCATATACAGGTTTCGTATACGGTATCTTACATTTTACTTAGAAGTTTAGGCAAACTTACAAGACTGAAAGGAACCTCATAGGTCAATGGGTCATGCTCACTACTGAGTGTGAGAATTCTCTCTCATAATTCCCATATCAACATTGCATCATCTTAAAGCTCATTGGGATTCTCTTTTTTTCTTTGCTTCTGGGTTTTTTTATGAACAGACTGTTCTGCTATAGTTACAAAACTTACTGTCCAGTCTAAACTTCTTCATGGGCAGCTGAAATCAATTTCTTGTCTTGCAGTCACTGTACTTACTTCAGCTTCAGTGTTTTTTCACTCCTTGATCCTTACTCCCTGTTGAACTGCTAACATGCATTTTAAATGAAGCAGTTGCATGCTGTCTTAGTTGTATGCTGAACGGGACTAGGCTAAATTATTCAGTATTTGCTAATTTACTACTTACACGTAGGCCAAATTGAAATATTTAAATTTCTTATAAATCATTTAGAATTAATAAATATAAATATAATGTATTTATATAAATGCATTTCTATCTAGCATAGGCTTAAGCTTAAAGAAGCTAGTGAAATATAACTTTTTTTTTTTGAAGAGCCTTTTTTCCCAAATGTTATCCTTCCAACTCTCTCTGTCACTGCACTCTCTCATCTGTTCATTTTGCACCAAGCATTCTAACTTCCTGTTTTAATAGCCAAAGCTGATTCTCGTTATCTCAAGCATCTTTTCAATACCACTGGCCCTCATAATCAGGAACATCTTGATTTTCATCTTGGCACTCTAGTAGATCATATCTCATAATTTATTTTTGCTCACTTTTAACTGGGGCTGCAATGCCGTGTATGTAACAAATTCAGTAACACATTTTATGAATAAAATTTTCAACTTGTATAAAGTATACTAAGGTCACTTGCCAGAATGCCTTAAAAGATTTAGTGCCTTTGTGCTAACCTTTGTAATAGAATAATTTGTGTCAAAACAGATCATTACTAGGATGATATGCAAGCTATACAGTACACAAGAAAGAAATCTAAAATCAACTTTTGACCTACTATGTGAAAAAAGTATGTTACACGAGATAAAACTATCTGAAAGATATATTGGCACTTGAACTGCAACCAACTTTTGCCTGAGATAGCCTAACCCAGTGTATGTTATAATTCCTCTCCTTCTAGCCAAGAAAACCTTAGAGAAGGTTTGTTTAGAACCAATAAATGTCACTTCTAAACAACTGGAGTGCTGAATGTCTTTAAGGCGTTATCACCTGCTTTCTATTATGTCTTACTCTCTGGCCCAAACTAAGAAATCTGGTTTCTAATATAGATAATTCAAAATACTACCTTCAACTTGGTTATTTCTCTTTCCGAAGGCAGTGTATATTATTACCTTGATAGGTTGGTATGGTATCCAATTTTCCTCCTGTAGTGTGTTTTCTCTCTAGAGGCCTTACTAATGTCACTGGTTGTATTTTATGAGCATTATAATCTTTCTGGTATGTGGTTCCCAGCTCTATCTCTCCCGTCTTTGGTTTATGTTCTTCTTGTACCCGAAAAGGTCGCTTCACAATATCATATGGTAAATAATCAGATCTGAATTGGGGAAAAAGGAAACGCTGGTTAAAACCCTTCTTTTTTTCTGATGGAGTCAATCTTTAAGATGTCTGAAAGCAGACTAGAAAAAGTTGCTCTAATTTTACAAAGAAATGATCCAGAAAGCTGAAGCAGAGCAAAAATCAAGCTACTAAAAGGGGCAGCATTTATTAATTGCATGAAGAGAATGGCATATAATTAGAAACAGCATTTCTCTGTTTTTATATGGGTGCATTACATTAAAGGGCTGTATATTACTTATGTAGGTGTTTAAAACAGTATATGCAGTAAACAGTCAATCTTGCAGAAGGGCATTTGGCCTTTCTATGTATGTCCCTTTTGGTTTTTTATAAACAAAGAAGTCTTACCTGTTGTTGTTACAGCTTAAAAGAAAAACAATAATGGAAAAAGTAAAGGTTTATGCTCCTATCACATTATTAATAATGAATGAGTGATGTCATTTCTAACTCTTTGAAAGATGGTCTTTAATTTTGTAAGCTTAATGTCAGAGTCTGTGCATTGACAGGACAGACCTACTGAACCCCTTTACAGTTGCCTTTCTTCAAACTCCCAATAATTTAGAACTATCTGAATAAAAAAATCCCTGTTCCTTTTTCTTAAGGTTTCATTTTCCCACTATATTATATATATATATCCACACATATATTACAGAAAGTTCCCCATCTTACCAGCTTTTTCAAGCTCGATGAGACCTAGATTTCCAAAACAGGCTGAAAACAGGGCAAAAATTGTAAATTATCTTTACAGGTTAAAGGATGCTGTAAAGAATGCAAATCTTTTTGTATGTGTTTCACTATTTTTTATGACCTTTTTGTGGTAACTGTATTTCTACACTCAAAATTCATACTTTTAAATATGCTAAAAGTGTAAAGAATGCAATGATTGCATTTTGAAAATGATTGCAATACAATGTTCAGTCTCTCCTTAAAAAAGAAAGTATGAGGAACTTTATAGAGTAATTGTAAAACACATTGCTTAAAAATGTTTACTTAAATGTTGTAATTCCTTCCATTTTCCCACGATGCACTTGGTACTCTTGTTTCGGCTTAAGGCTCCGGGGAGGAGAGATGTTGCTATACTTGGGATATTTTTCCACATACTCTGTTGTGAGGCACGGCTGTTGTCCATTATCATAAATCCTTGTGGGTTTATGGGGGCAGCGATGGCGCCTGGGTAAAACACATCAGATGAGATCATTTTGAATAGTTTCATTTAAGGGGAAAAACTATGCCCTATCTACTAGGAGTGAATAACAAATGGGGAAGATTGAACAATGTCAGTAGCTTGTGTTTAAAATTTTTCCTGAGTGATAAAAACATAAAATATTGTGCTGACGACATAGGTCCCAGAGCACGGCATACTAATACAGTAATAAATGGTACTGGTATGTGCGTTAGTCCTTAGTATAGAATACAAAGGATGGATAGAGTTGATCTCGGTACTCTAAATGGTACTACCACCAAGATGCACTTTACTATCTTTTTTTAATCTTTAATGATATTACTAATTTTATTCGTAAAAATAACTGCTTCATTTCTCCTCTCATACTGTCTTTTTTACTGTTTTCCCTTATTTCTTCTCTTTTTATTTCTGCGCATCTGCTCACCTATTTTCACCGCAACTCTTGATTAACCTTTTGTTTAAAGTTTAGTGCTGTGGAATTTCATCTGCACTTCTAGTGCTCTGTAGGCCTTTTCTGACTTTTCAACCCTTTTTCTTCAAGGACTGACTAAATCCTCAATCCAAAACCTGTTTGTTTAGAAGTAATGACATCCCTTTCTCTTAATAAGTTTTATTACAATTATACCTGCTTGTCATTGATGCCTATTTTAATGTCACCATTATGTCAAAAGGTGTTGAGGTATATCATGAATTAATTTATTACTAATACCTTATTGTTTTGTGTAAATCATGCATGAAATTAATATTTGTGTTATTTTCTATATTGCTTTGAAAATGTTATATTAATTCTAATTTGCATAACATCTCTAGTAGTTTGTTTCAAGCATAGTTTTAAAATTTTAGTTTGTCTGACATGATTATTATTTAATTTCTTCTTTAAGGAGATATATAATGAAAGATGTTCCTCCTACTTGTGGCTGACAGCTTGCAATACTGGTTCAGATATAAGCAAAGGGAAATAACAGGAAATAAAGCATATTTTTTTAAATAAATGAGTCTTGTAAAATTCTGTACATGAAAACCAAAAATAACTAAAGAACAAGAAGGGTAAAAGTGTACAGCAGTATAAGTGTACAATGTAAAATTTGTACTGGGTACAAATCAAGTTTCAGGAAGCTAGATACCCAAGGAACAGTTCAAAGGTCTGCACAGATATTTAGCTAGCACTGAATACCAAGAAGGAAAAAAATAAATTAAAGCAAGGTAAAATAGAATACAGAAACAGACATGAAGGACTCCTGCTGAGAAAAGTAGAATGAAAAAAACACTTAGAAGAAGCTTTCTGAACTGGTGATCCCTAAAGCTGGTATTAGTTTGGGCTGCCTGACTTTGCCAGCTCAGTAGTTCAATAAATGAGAAATGAAGTAGCCCTGTCTAAGATCCTTCCAAAGCCTCAGGTGATTACTCCTTTTCAATTAAGTCAATGGATAGTCAAGTAACAATTGAGAGAACTATTCAAAACATAGCAGAGGAAGGACAAGGGAAGAAGAGGGAAAGAACAGGAAAGGTAGGAAAACAAGGAGGTGAGTTGTGTGCTGCTTCTCAGCACCGTGCTTGCCTGTCACTACATTTTTCATGAAATCCAGTTACCACCTTAGTAATATTTTTTTTCAGTAAGTATAAACGGCACATGCTGTGTCATGTAGCATCTAAAAGTAACAGCTGAGCAGAAACTAAAACCATTGAATGTATATTTTGAAAGCTAGTTGAAATACAGGGTATCATGTTATAACGTTCTTCACATATTTTAGGCATACAATTCAAAGGAGTTTGAAACAAACTATTCATCTACAAAACCTTCATTTTGACAATCTTCAGTTTGCCATAAGCTGGTCCAGAAGACCAATCACCAAACACCTTCTCTGTTCTGGTATCACCAGTCTTTGAAGACTCTCACTATTTTCTAAGCAATATTGTCAGTAGATCCCCCGTATTGCTGAATGGTCATGCTACATGCTACTAGAAAGAGATACTAGAAAAATAATTACTTGCAGAGTGAGCCTATAGTTCTTAGTAGGTTCAACACAGAGGTGAAAGTAATCTAATGTATGTCTCCAAGGAAAGAAGCTTTTGTAATTGCATTAGAATTCATGAATCAAAAATGTCCTTGATCCCAGTCATTTGTAGCATATGAAATAATTTTGAACGGCCTCTAACTATGCACAAAATTACTTGGATTCAGCTGAGCCTGTTCAGGAAGATCCTACTCTGCGCTGTGAAAAACTTTCAGTGGGCCTAAAGGCAACGTAAAATTACCTTAATATATATGTGAATTTGATTTGGAGAAGAGATTAGGAGGGGTTAGGTTAATCGATAAATCTACTTCTGGATGTTGTCCAAGTACTAAACAAAAAGTTTTAATTTAGATAATAACTTTATAAAACTGATTACATAGGGCATCACAAGTCTTTAGAGAGACGATGCTAAGACTCATTAATCAGAGAAGACAGATTACAGCCCTGATAAATCAAATATGTTGCTCACAATTTGGCCAGACCTGCTTGAGTCATTGATTGTTTTAAACTTGTTACTTGTAGTTATCTTAACTTCAACCCCAGAGTTACTGATAATTCAAATTAATTTGGTGGGAATATGCCTTCCCCCCCAACTGACTGATGCCTGCTTTGATGGATTATTATTCTTTCCCTTCTTCGAGGGAGACTATCTTGTGGTTTGCATAAGGTCTGAACAGAATCTCAGCTAAATAAAATTGACAGCATATGGGCTCTCTACTGCCAAATGCTGTTGCTCTGATTATTTTAAGAGAATGATGCTGAATTTCACTTATTTAGGATCTGGCATACATACAATTGTTTTTTATACGGTGCTAGCAAGACCCATGAAATTTTCCCACAAAGTGTTTTCCTCTCAGAGAACTAGACTAATAATGAGGAAAGTTTAATGCTTATCATCATAAAGAACCTATTTTAAAAACAAAACCCCTCAAAGTTGGTTTTGTTTTTTTTAACTGCCAGTGCACACGCTATGCTCTGAAAGACAGAAGTTATGTGTGGACACTGTATTTTTGAGAGTCAGCTGCTTTCCTAGTGTTGACAGCAGCCCTAGTAGTTTTTACTGGGTTTGCATGTATTTACACGTGGTCAGTATGAAGGCTTAAATATCCCATATTTTAGATAAATCTTCCTCTTAACTTACATTTATTCAGGAATCTAGATTTTTATGATAATGTTAACAAAAGTGCAATAAATGGGGAAAGGCTGACAGATTGAGAATAAGATAAAGCCATAGTTTATTTCCATATCTCAGAACTAAATTTCTATGCTTTTGCAAGCTGTGATCCTCTTTTTTTGGTAGGCAAATACTATTCTTGAGTGCAGAGCATCCATCTACATCAGAGGCTTTATTCTTCCTTTGGAGGCCTGATTTAACACCCTGTATCTGCTCTTTGACATTTCTATTGAGCCAGTGACCTGAAGCCTGACTGTACTTGCTAGCAGGGCATAATTTTCTCTTATATTAAGTTAACACATTTGCAACCTATGGGAAATAAGAAAATAAAAATATTTCCAAAGCCTGACTGTACTTGCTAGCAGGGCGTAATTTTCTCTTATATTAACACATTTGGAACCTATGGGAAATAAGAAAATAAAAATATTTCCTTCTCTTTGAGGATCAGTCCCAAGTAAGGCTAGCTCATAGCTTCTCTACATTAAAAATATACCACTTCCAAAATAAGAAATGGAGCTGGAATATCTTAGGAAACAATACAGAATCCAGCCATTACTCTGCACAATGCAGTTTTGAGAACATTTTTGTGGTTTATTAAAAAAAACCCCACAAACTCCAACCAAAGTTACATCTCTACCATAGCAAGTTGAAAATGATCATAATACTACCTTGGTAGCATCTAAACTACTGCAAAAGTCTTAAAGCCTTGAGCTCAAAAGGCTAGACATTATATCAGTTATTAAAAAAGGAGAATTCCCCAGCATGGACCTATTTTGCAAATTGGTCTTTGAGCATGCTCAGCACCAGGTACACTTCCAGTGGTTTTTGGCATTACAATTATTTATTGATTTTAAAAAAGATCACCTAATAGGCACAGAAAGTCTAATAAGAAGGAATCTCTTAAAAATATTCCTAAAAATCTTGTAACAATTATTTGATTAACACTGCAACCCCTGTGTATGAACACTAGCACTCAGATGTGAGCCTTTAACGAGCAGATTGTGTAGGTCACAATGCAAAAACAGACATTCTGGAATTTTTGAAGGCTTTTGTCACTTCCCTGTAAAGAGAAAGCAGGATAAAGTTCTGTCTTACTGACTTTCCTCCCCTGTATTTGTAAAATTTTTCAGTGTTTTCTCTTCTGTGAGCAGCTAAGAAAGATTGTTTCCTTCCATTTTATTTTTAGAATTAAACAGTGATTGCATCTCCACAAAATTTCCTGCAAATAGCTAAATGATAACTTCCACAAATATTAGAGCTTTTTCTTCTCTTTTCTAAGATGTGTATGCATTGCAATATCCAGGTAATGCTGCCAGGCAACCAGTCTTCCCCCCAAAACAGAAACACTATAGCTACAGTGAAGCAAACACAACATGCTGCCTAAACTAATAATGGCTTAAGATTTTATTGACTGTAAAAATGTCAGTGATGTTTATTTTAAACGATAAGTTTTGTTCATATTTTATTCAGTTATTCATATTGTTAAACTGGGGTTTTGAATTGAGAATTTTCAGTTGAGTTGAACCTTGTTTTCTGCCGTCAGATTGTGTTATCTCACCATCTTTTTACTTGAGCCTGAGCCAGATTTGATATAATGAAAACAATGTCTTCCAACTCTTCATTAATCTAAGACTTTTGCAACAAATTTAAGGGGCAAACTACACCCACAGTCTTGGCCAAAAAGAACATGAGAAGCTTTACACACTGCCCGTCTCTGATTTCTGTCTATGAATCAAAAAAAAAAAAAAAAAAAGTGGCTGATGAACAGACAGACAGACTTCCCATACAGAAACATGT